TCCATCATAAGTAATGAACATACATAGCACAGGGTATAGTGGTGCATGTTTGCACTGGGGACAGTAAGGTGGGAGGATTGTGAGTTAAGAGGCCAGCCTGGGCTATACAATGAGATCCTGTCTCAAAAGACCAAAACCAAAACAAAAAAACAATGTCTTCAGTAAGACACTTTTTTTTTTACTATGGTGTGTCGTATCTATAGCAATGCACTGATAGACTTGTCCAATACCTCCGCCAGAAAAGAAATGAGGTTAAGCACATACGAGTGATCCTTACATATGTATGCTAGATACATGTGGTTTTACCTTTTTTTTTTAAACAGAGCCATACTATGCAGTACAGGCTGGCCTTGAACTCATGTTCCTCCTGCCCAGCCTTCAGTTTTTTTCCTCTAAGTGATCCTGACCTAACTTTTCAAACCTGTGCTTTACAATTCTTCTACACATCTAAAGGTTTTCAGAACTTAGGTTTCTGAAAATCGAACCTTTTGGCATGCTTCCTCCACCCTGTGATTTTTCCAAGATTATACCAGGTGGTTTTATCGTCAGACTGGCAAGTTCCCTCTGGGCTGTTTTTGCAGTGCTGGGGAGTGAACCCAGTGCCTTGCATATGCTAGGCAAGTGCTTGCTCTACCACTGAGCTGTGCCGCCAGTCACTGGCATGTTCTTTCAACATCCTCAGGAACTCAAGTCACTTAAAGCAGGTAGGACTTAAGAGGTATGTAAGGAGGTGACCAAGACTGGAAAGGTGGAGGAGTGTCTGTGTCACATAGATGGAGAGTGTAAGGAGGGAGGGAGGGGTGAGTAATGCCCATTCCTGGAATAGATGCTGGAGCTCATGGTCTGCTAGGAAGGTGGCAGTGGTCTCTTGAATCATGACATGCTAACAGGTACTCTGGCAAACAGCCTCGATCAGAACTGGCCACTCCTGGTAAGGCACACTGAGCCTTTCCCACCTATGAAGTAAAGCTTCAGCATTCAGAGTGTGCCTTTCATGACCTCACCATTTTTGGGAGGTTGAAGGGCTTCACACTTGCTAAGCAGGCACTCTAATACTTGAGCCATGCCTCTGGCCCTTTTTTCCTCTGGTTATTTTTGAGATAGTGCTTCACTTTTTTGCCCAGGTAGGACTGGAGTGCAATCCTCCTATTTTAGGCTTCCTGCTATGGCCAGAATGACAGGGATATGCCACCATGCCCAGCTTTTTTCTGTTGAGATGGGGTCTTACAAACATTTTTTGCCCAAGCTGGGCTCGAACTTTGATCCTCCTGATCTCAGGCTCCCACACTGCTAAGATGACACATGCACACCACTTCGCCCAGCTGTTAGGAGAGATGGGGGTCTCACCGGCCTTTTTGTCCAGACTGGCCTTGAACTACACCTCTGGATCTCAGCCTCCCAAGTAGTTAGGATTATAGGTGTGAGTCACCACTGCCTGAATGACCTCACCATTCTTAAACAGGTTTAACACTAACCTAAGTGTTAACATAAACGTTAAAATATTTCGCTAGCATATAAACAATGCAGGTGTGCCCGCATACACAGAGGATCAACAGTGGAAATCCTCAGCTGTAGCTCTTGGTTTCACATGTAAAGAAAGCCTGAGTTGCACTTTGTGAGGAGCATGAAGAATACCTTCAGAACTCAAAGGGCTTCGGGGAAAAAGTGGGGTAAAATCAACAAAGCTTGGCAGCCCGGTGTACTGACTGGCCCACCAAGAGAAGGGCTTGCTCAGTTAATATTTGAAAACCACACTCTTTCTGAGTAAATATATCATTCTTTGAACTTTGAGATTTTGGCACAGGGGCAATGGGGACCTTTTAAATCACTTAAAAATCTGCCTCAACCCAAGAATCTCCTCTGGATCATTTCATGCAGAAAAATCAACACAACTTTAGAAGCAATTGGAGCCAAATGGGAAAAATAACAAACCTGAAATACTCACTTCTAACATAAACTAAGTTAATTAGCTGTGAAATTTGAAGCAGGTTATGTAACCTTGCTTAGGCTATTTCTTCAGTTATAAAGCAGAGATAATACCGCCACCTCTTAGCTACCATGGAAATTAAATGAAAAATGGAAGCAAAACATCTCAGTTCCTGATAAAACAAGACCCTACATGTTCAGCTTTGTCACACTATTGGGTGAACCTAAAATCAATCCTAACTGAATTACTCCTCTAGATTTAGCCATTTGAGATTAATAAAATATTTTCCCATTCTCACCATGTGAGGGGGCTTTGCCAGCCACCTTAAAATCACTTAAAAATCTGCTTTAAACCAAGAATCATTTCACACAGAAAAATTAACACTATTTCAGGAGCAACTGGAGTGACATGGAAAAAATAACATACTCTTGAAAGAGTATTCCAAGTTGTTACTTTTCACAGAGGCAGTTGATCAGTTAAACTCAAAGCAACTGAGTTTAATAATTAGCCTACAAGCTTAAAAAGCTTGGAGCTCATAGGGTAATTAAAGTTTCTAACAAGTAATTTTAATAATTGTATTTAAAAGAGATTTATTTCTATAGGAGTCAGCTAAAAAGAATGTTCTTCCACTCTCCCTCTCTCCTGTCTGACTGCATCAGTCTATATCTTTATTAAGTTATAATTCACATTCATCACAGTAATTCCCATTATCCTTTATGCTCCATGATATTCTCAGCCTGTCCTCCCAGTACCCTGCATCAGTGATTCCCACCATGACTGTCCCTCACCTCCCCAACCTATTGCAAGAAAGTAAGTTACCTGGTGGCTGGAGGTGTAGTTCAGGGCATGCAAGAAGCCCTGGGGTTCAATACCCAGCACAGCCAAACACACCAAAAAAAAGTTACCTGCACAATATAAGTGCACTTACTAATTTATTTTGTGAAAACAGGCTTTCTAGAGAAGCTCACCAGGTACGTTTCTCCATAAATTTAAAAATGATAACCCAAGGGACTGGAGATACAGCTCAAGGTGCTTTGCATGTGAGAATCCCTGGGTTGGATTGCCAGCACCCTCTTCCCCCAAGAAAAGTGATAACTCAAAATTGTGTTAAAAAGTACAATGATAATTATTTGTAGCTTTCAAGGAAACAGAATTTAGGTCTCAGATTCCTAGTTTGGAACAACTACACGCAGCAGAAGCAGGAGAGATGAGAGAGGGGGAGAGAGAATTCATTCTTCTGCCTGCATTTATTTCCACAACAGCAATCACCTGGCCACACTAAATAGCCTAGCTGCAGAGCAACCTTGCTCTCCCACAACATGGAAACACGTGCTTCCTTCTGCGCCTGACGGGGAGGAAGCTCACTCACCTGCCGCCGTCCTCTGCCCACCTGCCCGGAGTCAGCACCGGGCTGGAGTCGGGGAACATGTGCGCATTTCCCAAAACTTGGTGACCAGGCTGTAAACACAACCTCGCTCTCTCACAACCCTCGGTTAGCAAAGTCTGACAACCCCAAATTGAAATCAGCCCTGATGGTGGACTCTCAAGTCACAGCAGTCGGCAGCACAGGATCCTGACAGGACTTGTTGATTCCCTACCTATGTCCTGACTGTCGCTTCAACAATGGCACTCCGCGCTCGCGGGTGTGACTAACGCCTAGTTTCGCATCCAGTTTTTAAAGCGGGACCTCGCTTGGCGAGGGAAAGGAAAGGGCACTGATCTGTGCCTGCCTTTTCTGAAGGGCACCAGGGCTTCCCATGGAAAGAGGGCTGCGGTGGGCGGGCGTCCCGGGAAGAGCCACACTTACCCTCCCCTCTCCTCCACGCGGTGCGTGCGGTGCGGCGGGCAGGCGATGCGACAGGCCGGCCCAGCCCGCGGGCCACAGCGCCGCGCCCCGGGGTCAGCCCGGCACGCAGGGGACGCGGCGCGAGAACACGCGGCGCTGTACCGGGCGGATGCCCGAGGAGCTCAGGGATCGGGGCTCGATCCTCTGGGATCTACAGCCCCGTGACAAGGCGCCCAAACGCAGCGGTCCCGCAGCCAGCCAGGCCGGTGGGTGTGGCCAGCCGGCGCACAAGGTTTTTGGAATGCAGGGTGTGGCCCTGGGCCATTGCAAAAAAGAAGTGAGTCAGCCCGTCCATCCTAACCAATAAGCACGGTCACGGTCTGCGAAGGCGGAACTTTCTTGGTTTGTATCAGTCTTAGCAATCTTTAGCAGCCTGTAAGTTCAGCGCAACTTCTAGAAGGGGGTAGGCTGCCCTTTTAAAACTTTTATGAGGCAAGGATTAATCTTGTTAATATGTTAATCAGAGGATGTCCGTTCGCTTCTGCTAGTAAAAGTTCTCCAGTCAGGCAGGGATTCTGGGTGCAAACACCCAGAGCCATGGAATCTGGTGTCAAAGTAGACTGGGATCTGACCTCTGGCACCGTGTGACCTTGGGCAGTTAAAGATCTGCAAGGAGTGGGTAAAATGCCCAGCTATCTACCAGTTTGACAGGCGGAGCATCAGATCTAATAACACATGCAAAGCATTCAGCAAAGTGCTTCAAGTCTTGTCCCCTGAGTCCTGAATCACAAACTCCTAAACTGCACACAAGCTGGACCATAATTTTAAAAATTCTTCTATGCTGAAATATCTTTTATGCTAAAATTTCCAAAGCTAAAATACTAAAACAGTTCTTTGGTATTGCTGATCTGTACCCCTTAATTAAGTCATGAGAAATTTAAGCAGCTTTTGGTTTGGGATTCTTGAATTTTTTGGGGGGGGGGAGGCACACAGTACTGGGGATTGAATCCAGGGCTTCGCCTTTGCTAGTTCTCTACCACTTGAGCCATGTCCAGTCCCCGCCCCCCCGAAGGTATTCTTATGCAATAAAACTTATTAGCAAAAATCCCTTTTTAAAAGAAAAAGGCTTTTACTTGTAGTTATTTCATTTAGGCCATAATTAAACTTTTTAAGAAACAAGAGTGTTTTTAGAAACATTCTATCTAGGTTATTATATCCTAAAAATTATTTTAGAATAAAAATATGTATTTTTAAAACTTAATTGAGAACTATCAAAGTATAGGTGACTATGGAATTGCTAATTCCTGAGGTCCTTTTAAGAAATGAGTTGATTACTAGTGAGAGTTTCTAACAGGGGAAGAAAAGAGATTAAGTTACATTGGCTTTAGAGAAGATCTCTTGAGTTTAACTTCCCTACATTTTTTCAGACCCAGTCGTTCCACAGGCCAAAGTTTCTTCAAAATATTCTTCAGCTGAAGACTGAAGAATGAGATCACTGAAAGTGAGATCAGAGTCTTTCCTAAAATGCTGTTCTCTTCTTGGAGGCAGAATGGGAAAGAACACTGCACAAGGAGCCAGTCCCAGCTCTGCCAGTAAGTGGCAGGTGAACTGCTTTATCTCTCTCCCAGGACCTCTAAGAGTTCTCCCAGTTAGGAGACATAACTAGTCAAAAATGGCAGAAGCAAGATAGGCCTGTAGCCTAATGCTTATCCTTAGAACAAACACCCAATATATGAAGCTGGGCCTGTCTCCTCAATGATGAAGATGACATATCTCTCTTGACTCTCATACTCCCCAGAAAGGTAATCTCATTCTCCTAGAGTAAGATTTAACTTGAAGCTAAATTGTGGAACCATCTACGCTCCCTACCTCACTTCTGACAATCCACGGTCAACAGGTATAACATGAAGGCTTCATTCTTACCTGTACCAGTTTCCATTCCTGGTTCAGGCATTCATTCCCTCCCGTTAGGGTCACTGAGGTTGGATGTCTCCCAGCTGCTGTTCTAGCTGGCAGGCCCCTCCCCCATGTCTCCCCACACATCATCACCATCATATGCTCAAAGTTCAGCATGCCATCATGTCATAAACCTTTCCTCTGTCAATCAATTGAACAACTGTAATTTTAAACTAGAGATCAAAAACAAAACAATTTGCTTTATAGGCAACTTTCCTCAAACGTTAACTTAAGTTATATGCATTTTTCAGAGCACTGGTTTTCTATTTACAAAAACATTGCAATTAATCACACTGAGTAAACTGGTAATATGTTGGCTGTTATGCCTAGAGCAGCAGTTCTCTTATTTTGAGAGGACTACATTAAACTTACGTGTATAAGCACAACTCAGTAACTTCTTAACACCACCTTCTGAGCTACCTGGCAGAGGAGGGAAGGCAGCACACACAGGAAAGAGAAGTGATCTACACCGTTTGTCCTGATTGTTTAGGATCCAGTCAAGCTTGAAATTTAGAGTAGGTGCTGCATCCTGGAAGAAGGAAGTTCTCATGAAAGTGACCAGCTGCAATGAGAACTTAAAACCCTCAAAGGATGCTTCCTACAATCTTTGTGCTTCAGAAACAATAGGGACACACACCATTACCATTCTCACAAAAGAAAAGGGATAGTTGTTTTTACAATGTTTTTGTTGTTTCAAATTAAAATGCAAACCACAAAGATTCTCAATATACAGCTATGGGGAAAAGAAAAGTGACAACCCACAGAACCAATGCCATCATGTTCAGTCATTCAGAATCCAACCTCTAGCTCTGCAACTCCCACCCATTCAGGACTCACTCAAACCTTCCTTCTCCTAGAATGCCCTCACTGGCCCAAGCCCTGAGGACCTTCTCCTCTCTTCTTTCCTCCTCTCCTCTCCCACAAGGCCTATGTACACTGAAACATATAGTGTCTTAGTGCCCTCTTTCTTTTGGAAATCTCTGCCCTTTCTCCCTCACCAGATAAAAAAAAGTCCATGGAAGGCAGAGGGTATATTTCACTGGCTTTGTAACCCACAGGCTTAGCAGATTCTGAATAGTCATTGTTGTCTAACGATGTTTATGTTATATAACAGCAACAATGGAGAAAAGGAAACCTTCACTAACATACCAAGAATAAACAAGTATTATAGTTGTTCAAGCCAGTTGGCAAACAACCCAAGCAGCAGATGTGTTTCTTTGCTCTTTGCGACATGTTCTAACAATACAGAACACTATTGGAAAAGCAAATTCAATACTTCCTAAAAGGAAGTGGAGTTTACAGAACAGTGTGTCACGCTCAATCTCAGTTCCCCAAACACTACCCCACTGAAGAGTCATTCCATTGTCCTTTCAAGTAGGAACACATACATATGTAATTGACAATTTGCCAGAATACCAATTCCTCTTACATATAATCATCTCTCTCAATGTATGTATTAGAACCATAAATACCTACCTGCCTACCAACAAGTAAATGACTTTAATAATAAATTAAGAGGTGGCAAAGGGAAATTCTTCAAGACAACTCATAACTCCTAGAACCATCACAGACATGCATTTGTTTAAATGGTCTAAAGCCAAAAGTTGTATGGCATTTGCATTAGTGCAAGCTTCTATAGAGAGTCATTACCACACATAGCCACAGTCACTTGTACCCTTTGATTAATGTGTTAATACATTTCTGCTTTTATGGTAGGTAGGAATAAACACTACCACTGTTCTCAAAAAAGCTGTGTCATAAATTAGCTGCCCTATTACCCAATTAACTATTTATTATATTTTCCCATGACAAAGGCACTGATAAATATTCCAAGTATAAACAACCAAATGTATTAGTCAGCATTCTTTATCTTGCAGGTGACAGAAATAGCACTTGAAGCAGCACAGGCAAAAGCGAGGTGGGACATATTGACTCAAAATACCAACAACAGGAAAGCCACAGTGGTAGCTTAGCTGGGCTTTAGGATCAATTCAACAAAAACTCTATGAGGACAAGATGGCATCTTTACTTCCACAAGTTGGCTTTGTCCTCCATTCCTCAAATCTGCCTTCTTCTACTTAACTTTCAGCTCTGCTACTAAGAGGGACTACTCCTCTTTTCATAGCTGTGATTTTTTAAATTTGGTCCAGATTCCTAGGATCACCTTGCTGGATTGGAAGCAGGAAATTCCCCAGAAGAAGGCAGGTTAAATTACATTCTAAAAGTTCACTTCTAGGTTTAAAGTCAATGAACTCTTCTTGCCTTGCACTTGGAGTACACTTGAGTGGAGACAATGTGTTTCTAGTAGTGCACAGGCTGGCTTCTCTCCCCAGTCCTTCAAAGCCTATTTAACTCATGATTGATCTGAAATGTAACATCAATAAAATTTCTAATACTGCACCCAATCTTCATTCATAGCCTTGTTCCTAAAGGAAAATGTATTTGAAATTCTACCCAGAACAAGAAAACAAAACAAGCTCAACTTAATTTATTCACTGAGTACCTAGTAATGCCAATGGCTTCTGTTTACACATCATTTTACATGTAATCTAAACACAGCACTGCAAGGCAGGTGTTAACAGCTACAATGAACCCATGAGGAAGCTTGGAGTAAAGGAAGATATATGTGTCCAAGTTCAATGGCTAAGCCAAGTCACAGCCAGCTTCAAAACCATGTCTGTCTGACCCCAAAGCTGACACTACTGAGTCTAATACTCAGGCTTACAGATGAGGAAACTGAGGGTGATGTCTCAGACTCTGTGTAAATACCTAAAAAGAGAAGGAATAAGTGGAGAATAAGTCACTAGCTATTTCCTAAGAGAGGAAATAGCTGCCTAAGAGAAAATACCTTTCTAGGTAAACTTTATACTACTCTGACACTTGTACTTGCATAAAATCATCTTAAAAATCAGGGGTTTGTGAACAGTATTTTCACTAAGAGTTTCTTTCGCCCTATTTTTTTTCCTAACAAAGTACTAGCCCTATATTAAAATGCTCATCTTAAAGTGTTTTAAGAGAAAATCAGAAAACAGACCAACCCTTGTTTTTGGCAAATTTTCAGATCTGCTGATATAAATACAATGACCCATTTAGCAGAATTAACTGTGTTTTACACTTTTAAATATTTTTGTTTATGCGGTATTTAACACATAGAAAAAATATATTTACCTATTTGTTATGAAACAATATTAAAAATCAATACCCATGAACCCACCACAGCTAAGTAGACCATTTCTGACAAAACCTGACAGCTGTCTGGGTGCCTCTTCTATCTGACTGAGACTGACAACCATTTCTTTCCAGGCATGTTGGTCAGAAAGTCTGAAAGACCATGGTCTAAAAGTGACTTACTCTGCCTGTGTCTTCTGGAATCAATGGAGAGGTGGTCAGAACTAATGGGACAGAATTCAGTCATGAAGGAAGGGGAACAGCGAAATTACACAGAGTCTTAACACACAAATCACCACTCAGACAGACCTCTGTGAGCTCCTGATTTCACTTCATGGACTCAAGCCAGAACTAGTTACTAGGAACATTAAAGTAAGTTAGTTCTCTTTGACACATGTGTCCTGAAATTATGAGAGCCACCTCCAAATTATCCAAATTAAGGTAAGGTATTACTAAGGCCAGACAAACTTGTCCTCTTATGACAGAGCCTTAAACACCTGAGATACCATCAAAAGACAAAGGAAAGGAGCACTGCAATTAACAATAATGAACTCTACTTCATACATCAAGGGAAAAGAGAACCAGTAACTTGAGGAGGGAAAATAAAACAAAGAAAACAATCAACTGACAAAGGGCTTAATTTTATTGTAACAGCATGTTAAGCAATTTATATGAAAGGAAACAAAAATTGACAAGTTATCTGTGAAATCAAAGGATTTAGGATACATGTCAAAAAAAGGACATTACACAGTGAAGAGTGAGCAAGTCAGTACAGCTAAGCTGAAGAAACAGAAAGCAATGACACTTGAATGCACAGCAGTGAGTATACCTCAGGGCACTGTCCTCAAGCTGGGGGCACCCCCTGCGTCATTCCACAGTGACATCTGCACCTTGCCTTGAGATCCCTGAAAGCTCTGCCCAGGGCTCAGATAACTCTAAACCTCTAAAAGTTCAACCTGTGGTGCAGGATATCTTCTTTAAGTGTTCAAAGAACAAATGAAGGTTATCTGGGTCAACACTAGATGCCCTATCTCTCAAGATGAAAGCTCTGGGTACCAGGAGAAATGGAGAGAGGGAGAGGGGAGGGAGTGTGTGCATGTGCATCCAGAAAGAGAGGAAAGGGGGGATACTACTTTAGGTTAAATTATCCTACAGGAATGAATCCTCTTAACAATGCAGAGATCTCTTTCTGCTTCCTGTCTTGTTCTTTGCACACTCTACATCCTCTTTACTAGGGACAAGGCAAGAGCACCCTGACTGGACACCAAGAACAAGAGAAAGATGGCAGAACAAAGCCATGCTGTTAAAGGTTCTGCTCAGAAATGGTACATGCAACTGTCACTCACATAGCATTAGCCAAAATAAGTCTTATGGCCAAACCAGCTCTGGGAGTCAGCCTTCACTAGAGTGGGAGAATGTAATCCCTTCCTGGCTGGAGGGAGGGCAGGAAGAGCAGCAAATGTGTGGATGAGAATAAAAGTGACCACCAAGGGAATGGAGAATGTCTGGAGAGGGATTTCGTCCCTCCTGTGACATGCAAGAAGGCACTGTACTCTAAAGTCAGTGCCTCCATTTCCATGTGCCTTTCTGCTGCTCTCACTCTTCCAGAAACCAAATCTCACCGGATCCTCACAGCCATCCAAGTGAAGTCCTGGGACTTACAGCAGTACGTGAACTAGAACTCCCACGCTGAAGAGTTTTTTATTGAATATTTTTCTCATTCATAAAGTCCTTTCCAATTAGCAATGTTAATGTTACAATTTAATAAACCAACGTGAATCAAATACCCAACTCACACGTACTCTGCTCCTGAAACCCTTCTGATCTGGCCTATTCTTCTTGCCACCCAGGCAATCTCTTTCTTCCATGTCCTGCTTATACATGTTTTATAACATCTAGTATATTCATCTTGAAATTATATTTTCTTTACTAGGCTGGACTGTTGACTCCTAAAGTACATGAGATTGTATGATACTGGAATCTACCCTTAAAACCCACGACTCCCAAGTTTCCAGCAAGCTACTATTGGTTGCTTGGAATACAACACAAGGCTGTAAAATGTATACATTTGAAGACTGCACACCTAGGCAACTCTCAAATTAGAAATTCTTATCTGCTTGGGATGTTTAGGAACAACAGAAGGACCATTCCTGGGAGAGAGATGGAAATGCAAATCAGAAAGTGTTTTCTGTGGCAAAATGTCCTTATTAATTATTACTCTCACATTGGCTTTCAGTTACCAAAAACACCTTCAATCAATCTGATTAAGCCACAGGCAGTATTTCATAATCCAGGCAAATCCTCAGATGGTAATCATGAGCTTCCTCATGAAATGGACAAGAATTAATTTTGCAGTAATCCAATAATCCCCTGACTTGGTGGGAACTATAAATACCTTTTAAGAGGAAATAAGGGAAATGAATATTTTAAGATTATGTAAGTCTGATTCAGGGCATTGACACAAAATGAATGTTTTGAAATATTCAAGGCATTTTTCAGGCTTAATAAAGAAAGTGTTTTGAGAACTAGGTGGGTGAGATTTAAAATAAAAACAACCACCACAACCCTTGCTGTTACTTAGCAATTTCAGGCTTCAATTATTTTCTTCTAAAGGGCAAGTTAGAAAGACTGAGGAAGCTGCTTCTAGAATAAACATGGAGCTATCTGATCCAGTTTTGTTTCTTTCCTCCATTTTACACCCGAAGCCAAAATGAACTTTAAGCTGCCAGGTTTTGATTTGGTCCTCTCTGGAGGCATTAAGACTTACATTTTGAGGGAAGAGCAGAGTGGCTCAAATGGCAGAGCGCCTGCCTAGCAACTGTGAGGCCCCTGAAAAGGCCCACCAAAAAGGAAAGGGAAAAAAAAAAGAAAGACTTAAAATTTTGAGGGCAGGGTATGGTGCCTCAAACCCATAATCCTATCTACTCCAGAGGCTAGGGGCATGACTCAGGTAGTAGAACACTTGCCTAGGTTTAAGCCCCAATACCCGCTTCCCACACACAAAGTAAATTATATAAACTCAACTTTTATTTATTGATTTCATTTTTGGCAATACTGGTGTTGGAACCCTGGGCCTCACTCTGGGTAGGGAGGCACTCTCCCACTTGAGCCATGCCCCAGCCTTTATTGCTTTTTTAGATATTTTTCAGGTAGGGTCTTCAGTTCTTGCCTGGGCCAGCCTCAGGCTGCAATCCTCATACTTACAGCCTCCCACAAAGCTGGGACCAAAGCTGGTGCCAACATGCTCAGCTTATTTTTTGAGACAGAATTTCATTAACTTTTTGCCTGGGCTGGCCTTGAACAGCAGTCCTCCTGATCTCCATCTCCTAAGTACTTGGGATTATAGACATGAGCCACACTGTGCAGGACCTAAACTTAATTTTTTAATTATACTTAAACCAACATAATAAATACTCAAAACTCATTGCTTCCTAATTATTTTACCAGTACCCACCTTCCTGATGCTGTTTGCAACTCCTGTGTCTGGTTGACAGGACACAGTCGTGTGTACCCACCTATCACCTCCCTACCTGGCTTTTGGTAACCTCTGTTGTACTATGAAATCAGCCTTGGTGGGAAGTTTTCTTGTTGATCTTCACCTACCATCTGCTGCCTACAGAGTTACTGAGCACTGCTGATTTACACCACTGTAACTCAGGTCCCAGAGCTGGTCAATCTTTCAAGTCAGAATAAAGGCTCATAAATTGTAAATCATGATACAAATAGGACAGAAAGCAACCGCGTTTACTGTGGCCCGCTAATACACCAGACATAGCTCAAAGAACGACCAACAGTCTTCAAGTCCTGAGAAGTCTTATCAGCTCCAATGTACAGATGAGTCAGTCAGGTCCTGAGAGTTTCAGTAACTACTACAATACTAAATGCAAGTCAGACCTAGAATGTCTGACTCAAAAGCTCTCATCTTTCCACTGAGCTATCACAGGCGCTACCAGTATTACCATCACAACGAAACCAAAATCAGCCTTGTGTAACCGTCACATTAGGAACACATTGAGCTAGGGAGAAGGTGTAGACAAAGAACCCATTCTTATTCATATTAACCAAATTTTTTCATATTTACTTCTAAAATACACCAAACAAAAGCTACCTGAGTGAAATGGGACCCAAGGAACCACAGGGACCAAAACCTGTGTTTCAGAAGGGTCATTCTGAGTTTGAATGTCCATCTGGTATAAGGAATCCTCTTTTAATTCTTCAAACACTTTTGCCCTATCTACCAAATTAATGCACCCAACTAAAAATGTCTCCTACCAAGAAAGAATTAAGCAAAACCAAAATTTCTCAAATGTTAGCATCAATTTTCTGAAGTGTTCAGATGTTTTTTAACACATTTTCCCTTTTACCCTTTTAAATTACTTGATTGTGGTGTCCTTTTTACCATGAGGTCTTAAACACAAATCATCCATTAGTTAAACAAATTCTAAAGAGCTAACGAAATTTTACTTACAGATTTTTTAAGGAGATTCTCGTCATCTTGGCTTCCTGTGAGCTACTAGCTTCTCCCACTGTTCTGGGACATTCCTGTCACCTGTCACAAGAGGAAGACTCTGATGAGTTGCAGGTGTCATGAAGGTGGTTTCTTAGTTTCCACTATGTTACTCTTTTATTCCCTTACACCTGAAACATGAAGTATAGTTGTCTCTCCCCACCACCCCACCTTTTTCCCAAAAGCAAAAATAACACAGAAGATGACTCCAAGAGAAAAACTTAAAGTGCATAATTTCCACTTTGCGGTTTGGAATGGAGAACCATTCGGATGCCCTCCATTGTGTTTATAGGAAAGGATCCATAGTCAGATTCCAGAAGGGAGTGGCATCAGAGTAACCCACTTTCTCTCCCTCTCTCTCCCTGCTAACTTCTCTACCATGAGTGACTAGCAGTCCTGGAACCCCAGTGGGAGCCTGGCTGACAGCTTAGCAACTGCTCTGAGCCAGGTGACAGGCCTCCCTCAGTTCTCTCTAGCACCTGGACCCAGCCGCTCAGTAGGCAAGACGATGGCCGCAGCTCTGTCCTGCTTCTCTCTAGCTGTGACTAAAGGACAGAATCAGGGCTGCTAGGATGGAATCCATGTTCCAGTTTCAGAGAAGAAGGCACTGACCCTTCTGAGTTGCAATTCTGCTTAATCAGTAATTAAGCTACTGGCTCTGCTGCCACTCATTTGAATTCTTGCTTGATTGCTCAGCTTGTTTAAATTGGGGAATGCAAAAGATGAGTAATGAAGCAACTCAAGCCACCAACATCTACCACAGGATGCCACAGACATTAGAAACCCTGGTCTAAAACCCTATGCTACTAGCCTCAAGACTGTGGGGAAATCTATTTCTCTCTTCCTAGTCTCTATTTCCTCTTTTCTCAAAGAGATCAAACGTTGCGTACTCTACTGTGTGGCAGTGAGGATTAAGGAAAATAAAAGCACACATTGATCCAACAAAGGTATCCCAGCACCCAGGGACCCAATGGTAAACGATCAGAACCGTTACAATGTCCACAGGTCTGGAGATTCATACAAATTCATGGAATAATGGAATACACCCAACAAAGAGCTTTCCTTTTTCCAAGAGGAAAATATTCCAACAATATGTTACTTTTGTTAATTTTATAACATTTTAGGGTCAACAAATGAGGAATAGGATTTTCTGTCTTCTTTCCTTCACAGAAGGGTCCTAAATAAATACTTGTAGCCAATATAATGCAACAATGGCTCAGGCCTATGATCCCTGGTACTCAAGAGGTGGTGATCAGAAGGATTATGGTTTGAGGTCAATCCGGGCAAAACAAATAAGCTAGTAATGGTAGTTTGTATGTTGTAATCCCAGTAGACATGGGAGGCATAGGTAAGAAGATCATGATCTGAAAGACCAGCTCTGGGCAAAAAAGTGAGACCCTATCAAAAACTAAGGAAGCAAAAATGAGCTGGGGTGAGGATAAGGAGTGACTCAAGTGGTAGCATCTGCCTAACCCTGAGTTGAAATCCCAGGACCACCACCACCAAAAAAAAAAAAAATCCACCTATTGCTCATTTTATGTGAAGAACATGTGACCCCAAGTAAAACAGGAACTTGTTTTGTGACATGAAGTCTCCACATTAATTCAGAGATGAGACTGATAACAATTATCCCTGTTTCCCTGTTTCCATTCACACAGCATCACCTCAGTTATCTGAAGGAAAGACATAAGCCTTGCAGAAGCCCAAACCCAAGAGTGTAGGAAGTGGATTAAGAAGGAAAGGGACGGAGCAAACACCACAGAAATCCAAAGAGCTTCCCTGGTAACAAAGAAAACCAGTAAAAATAGCAGGGAAGGACTGAATAATCAGAGACTTGGGTTATACCCAGCATGGAGGCAGGCAGGTTCACTAGCTATCTACATTTTATGTGGCTGGACGCTGCACAGGAAGCTGTCACAAGCCTGAGAAGTGATGTAAGCTTTGAAACAGGTTGAAAATAAACAGGTTTAAAGCACACCTTGCTACTTAACCACACTGTGGTGATCTTTGCCAACTATTTCCTCTAAGGCTTAGTCTCCAGGTTTATAAGATAAGGACACAATAGCTGCACTGCAGAGTGGCTATATAATTTATAACTTATAATTTATAGATAATGTGTTACAGAACCCACTACAACATGTTCTCAAAAGAAAACAGCAACTGGTGCAATTACGGCAGAGTCTATTAAATTCATTGTTACAATGGTAATTATGATATGCAGTCTTATTAAATTCATCAACTCCCTATGTGAATATTTAGAGAATGGTTCAAATCACACTTCTGACATTAACATAAAACTTTCTAGGTCTGTCATAATGCAGTGTCAATTAGCAACCCCCACCCTAGCTGCTAGCCTTTACTGACGTGAACAAACAGAGCTCACTATAGCTGTGTGTTGGCTGGCATGCCTCAGAGGGCACTTTCTTTTTTGATGCTACATTCTGGAGAGGAGGGAATGAGTTGTTTCCATCACAGAACTGCAGTGCAACCCACAGGCACCGTGGGAGCCAAAGGCCACACTAAAAATGGCAGACACTCTGTCAACACAGCTATCTTCAGCACCACGTTACACCTTCACCTACAATGGTATGAATTTTTTCAGCTACGTTTCAAAAACTATAGTCCACTAGGTGAGGCCAAACCAACTTTTAGACACAAGTGTAAGGACTTGCTATCTATAAAAGCTACTCTTTGGCCTCTTCCAAGTCACCCTTTTGGGATCCCTCCAGTGAGGCTGACTGCTTAGAAGTTGAGTGTTCTTTTATCTTCAGAACGAGTATGTACTATGTGCACAAGAAAACCTGTCTCTTTGCAGTGTAGTTATTCCAAAGCTGGGGAGAAAACCACTTTTTTTTGCTATTGCGGAAAATATTTAATAGTTTACTGAAAAGAATCAAAATTATCACCAAATCTGGTAATGTGCCAGTTGGTTATTCAACAAAATTACAAATGACTTCAACAGCCACCTTTAATGAGCTACCCATTCAGCAGAAGATTCTGCGCTAAGCCCTGGGGCTAAGGACAGGGCTGTTAGGTGACTGAGATGAGGTTCCCATAAAAGCCCTCAGAGCAATGGCAGTACAGCACTGGAATACAAGCAATTAACTCAGATGATGCCTTTCAACAGGACAGTCTGGATATACCAGTCCTAGCTATGACTTAAAAGCTCAGTTCTTCCTCATCATGCTTCATAAACAATGTTATAATTCCACAACAGTCATGTGAAAACCTAAGAAGAATACATTCTTTTTTGAACATAAACTCTGTGGTCAAGAGCAAGGTGAAGCATGCTGCCAGGTGGGAAGAAGCTCTTGCAGCTTCTGGTTGCTCTTTGCATTAAAGCATATTGTTTGTGAAACCGGGACAGATCTGAGTCTTCATGTGGCTGTGCATTGTGAACTTTGGGTGAGAAGTCTGAAACTCAAAGCTACTACACAACTATTTTATGTAAGAGGAGTAAAAAAATTTTTTTAAGTTTGTGTTACTTGGAGAAGAAAGACATAATGCCATAAATAAAGCTGTGGCAAACAGTAAGTGCTCATTAAATTCTATGCTACTTGAAAAAGCACACCCTCCTCATCCTCAGGAGGCAAAGCAAGTACCAAGATGGAATCAACATACGTGGCACTTAGTAATGAAGGGCTGAACCTATCCCCCAGCATCTCTGCAGAGCCACAATCCAGAGCCTAGTGGCTGTGGGAAATTCAAAAATGTTAATACAAGAGTTGCACAGAAACAAAACCGAGTAACTGACTGCTCAGTTCACAAAGGCACAACTGGGGTTCCAACCCAGGCACTCAGTTCCAGTCCTTGTTCTCACCCATGACATCATCATCATCATCACCTCTGTAATGAGGAAGAGAAATAACTGAAAACTGACAAAGACACAGGCCAGCAGCAGGCGGAGTATAGCAGCAAAGAGTTCCCTAAAGGCAGCTGACAAGGAGAAGGTAGTAACACCACAGAGCGCTTCTTAGGGTCCAAATGCCAAAGGATCAAACCTGCCACAGATTCTCAGCTAAATCTGCCAACCTGGTCCTAGGAGATCCTGCAGGATAACACTGGGAAAGGAGCTAGTTTGGGAATTTGGTGCTTGCCTGAAGAGCACAGTGGCCAGAAGACACAAAACCCAGAAAGACCCACCTAGACCCACTATGAGTTAAGACATAGTTTCTAAGAGAACATGTCACATTCCCAAAACACCATCCTCACAGGGAAAGAGGTACTTCCATGGAGGCAGTTTTTGGTTATCTCTTCCCTCCCACTCTTCCTCTTTCTCCCTCCTCCCTTCTCCTCTCCGCCAGGGCCTGGAGCTTGCTAGACAGGCCTCTACCACTTAACCCACATCCCCATTCCGATTTTACTTTAGTTATTTTTCAGATAGAGCATCACTTTTTTGCCCAGGGCTAGACTCAAACCATGATCCTTCTATCTATGCCTCCACATAGCTAGGGTCACAGAAGTAGTCCACCACGTCCAACTTCTTTGTTAACTTGCGATCCTGCACGCTTTTTTTTTTTTTTTTTTTTTGGCTGGGTCTAGCCTTGAACCACAATCTTCCTACCTATGCCTCCTGGGTAGCTGGGATCCCAGATATGAACCACTGTGCCTGGTCCCCTTTCATTGCATTTCTACAGGGGAAAAAAGGAGGAAAACTACCCAGGGCTGTGGGATTCTCTGTAGGTCAGGAGAGAGAGAAAAACAACAACAAAAAAGGAAAGAGAAAAATGCTTCTGTTTACATAGAAGAATGTGTGAAAGGAAGGAAAGAGGTTATAAACCTAGCCAGTCTCAGGTGTAGCCCCTTAAACTCACTCATTGACCATGCCTCAGGTAACCTGTGCCCCACTCCCATGAACAGGAGTGCTGCCTGACTTCCTTAGAATGAAAAGAATGGTATAGAAATGAAAGCACACATGTGTTACACTACAGGGTACTGTAACATCCGTTCAGCCACAAGTTTCTTTCCTTGTTGCTTTGAAAGCATGCTGCCATGTTATGAGCTGCTTAATCAGTGAGCAAGGGCAAAACCTCCGGCTCACA